ACTTTGGTAGTATTTTTTTTTTTTTTTTTTGTAACATGGAGGAAGGGGAATAGAAAGGTAAAGGGACCTCTGAGAATCGCGCATGTATTGTGTGAAAAACTCTCATCGATATCACTAGACTATAAGTTCTGAGGGTAATTATAAGTTCTGAGAGTAATTATTCCTTGTGTTTTTCTTTGTTGGTTAATTGTAGCTTTGGGCTTTTTTTTTTCTTTTTTTTTTGTATTTATGCCTAATGCAACATGATTGTTGTGATTGGGATTGTCAAAGTGTAGTATTTTCAGTTTATCATCAATTGGAATATATGGTTGGGGGTTCAAGAAAATCCAGAGTTGTTAGCTTTTTTCCATTTCATTTGTTACTCTGTGCCTAATCTCAATGTCTCCAAATACATATTTTGTAAACTAGATAGTGTAAAGGTATTGGACTGTAACTTTCTCTAAATTTGCATAAACATACCTTCGACCATCTAGTTTTACAAACATGACTGAAGTATACATTATCTATACACTTCGGTTGTATATTCTATGAATAGTATGTATATATTATATGTATACTCTAAAGTATACACTATCTATATATCTATTGTGTACATATTTTTTAACTAGATGATTCAAAAGTACTAGACTGTAATCTTCTCAAATATTTATTCATATTTTTTTATGTTCAAGCTAAATTATTAGTTACTTGAGAACTTCAAACTAGATTTGTCATCGAAAAATAATAAAACAATAATCAGTTTCAAATATCTAAGTCATTTGATTTATCAAAATTTATTAACCGAATTAATTTAGATTCAAAATATGTATGATTCATTTAAGAAAAAAAACATTTCTTTTATTTTTAAAGCTTAAACCCCCGACCTTTAATAAGAAAAAAAAGAAATCACCTATTCCGATATTGCTTTGAATTTTGATGGCCATACATCTTCTATCGGATGCACATATTTTTCAAATCTTAGGCACCAAAAAGTCTCATTAGAATTATTTGAATCTTTATGTCAAAATACAAAGTTACATCTTGAACAATAAATAGTAGCCTTTAAATAATTTTCATAACACATCACTCTCTTCATAGAGAAGTTGAGAAATGAAATGAACAAAAAGAGTATATTGTACAAGTATAAAATATTTCTAAAGAATGCAAAGAATTCATAAGACATAATACTCAAACAAATATTTGAATTTGATTTTAGCTGACAAGTAAATATTTTAATATTAAAAATACATATCTAAATACCTCAACTTATAATGTACCACTCCCAAATTTTAAACCATATAAAACATACGCTCCTAATTAGTGGACATTAATAATGCTAATTTCTTATATCCACCCATTATTGAAAGATTTTTTACTTGTTTATTCATATAAAAAATAAATCAGGCCAAAGAATGTATTAATGATAATGTGGCAAACTATAATTTAACTAAGGTTAGTTGGCTCTTATGATCGAGTTTTTTTTTTGGATCCTACGCATAGCAAAAGCTTTAATATATCGGATCGGATGTCTTTTTTTTTTTTTTAAGTTGGCCTTCGACAAAATTGATTAGAAATCAATCTAATTTCTTTCTTTTGTTGTTTATATACTTGGGAAAATTAGAGAGAATAACCATTCGGTCATCTTACATTTTTACTACTCAAAATTCACCCAATTATCAATTTATTATCTCATATAATTTTATTAACCCTTGATCCCCACCCCTTTTCCCTCTTTCATGTGACTCTTTTAGTGTTCAATTTCTTCTTTCTCTTTTATTATATCACTACCTTTTCCCTCTTTCATGTGATTTTCATACCCTCATATGAGATAATGCTAATATCTCACATTCACCCATTATCAAAAGATTTCTCATATTGACTATAATGTGGCAAACTATAATTAACTAAGGTTAGTTGGCTCTTGTGGTCAAGCCATTTTCCATATCCTGTGCATAACCAAAGCTTTAATGCATCAAACTGCTTTTTTAAATTGGCCTTTGACAAAATTGATTGAAAATTAATCTAATTTCATTCTTTTGTTGTTTATAACTTGCAAAAATTAGGAGGATGACCATTAGGTCATCTTACATTTTACTACTCAAAATTAACCCAATTATTAATTTATAACTATCTCATATAATTTTATTAACCCATTAACCCTTGGTTCTCACTTCTCACCCTTTTCCCTCTTTCATGTGACTCTTTTAGTGTTCCATTTCTTCTTTCTCTTTTATTATAATAACCACCCTCTTCTTCTTTTTTAAGTAAAATTTTATTCTTTTACAAATTTAATTTGTGATCGGTAGGAAAATTTAAAGAACCTTTTTATATTTTTTTCTTCTTCTTTCATCTTTTCTATTATTTGATGATAAATTATATCTCTAGCCTTATTTCTTTTGATTATGTAATACCTATTTTCCTCTCATGAAATAATTGTTTTTATCCTATTGTAAAAAAGAAGAAAAGGAAATATATTAAGGTGTAAATAGTGAAAAATAAGAGAATAGGGTGCAAGGTAAAAAATGAAACATAAATTAGGGTGCAAAATGTAAAGAACCCAAAATACTCTTACGTAAGAAAAAAAAGGGGAAAAATTGAAAGCACCTGAAAACGGAGGAGTGCCACCGGAAATCATAACTTCCGGCGATTTCAGCAACGCTTCCAGTACAAGCAGTTTGAGAAATCAGTTGCCGGAGAACGAACGGAGAGAGTCATCGGAACCCTAGACCGAATCAGTGAGTTTCCGGATCCACTCATTAATAATGAATTGATGATTCACTACTTGTCTCAAAACGGTGACAGTATCTCTAGGAAGTCGTATCTCTAGACTACAGTTGATAGCTTATATTTCTGTTTTTCATATGATTTGAGCCTAAAAAGCTTCATTTTTCTTTGTGAACTATTTCCTCATTGCACTTAGTGGAAAAATCAAATAATTCTAGCTCCATTTTGACTTATCTAAGATATGATGTCGAATCCGTCGATGGTTTAGTATGTGTGGATAAAAAAGTGGAAGATGTTACATTGTATTTAAGTAGTGATAACAGTCATGAATTGCCTCAATGTCTATGCAGTTGCTCTTCATCAATAATTTTGATTTTGTGTGGTGAAAAATTTGATATTGAGTGGAAGTCTCTGACTTTTTCTCCATAGCGTTAGATGATGAAACTGTTATGAACAAACTGTCAGGTGTCTTGCTTAGGACACTTTGGAACTGTTTTGGTTTAATGGTTTCCATAGGCTGTATTGAGAATATGATTAGGAGATATCGAGAGAGGAAAGAAGGAGGATATTGATTATGTTCTATGTATCAGTAGGAAAGCAGAGAATGAATCTCATTAACTGGAATGAAAATGAATATAACAGTACAAACTTATATACTAGCTACACTAATCAACCTACTTGCTAACACGTGTAACCAACTAATGCTCTTTAACTACTCAATAACAAACTAACCGAATAATAGTTACAGGCTGAACTTTTAAAGTGACTCCACTGTTCTCAATCTTCCCCCTCAAACTAAATGTACTGAACACATTCAGAACTCTTAGTTTGGACAACAATGATTCATGTTGAGCTCTTCCCAATGCCTTGGTCAGTATATAAGCCACAAGACATCCCTTTCTCAATTTTTCTAGCTTCTTCACCACTTTGGAGGGGATTGGAAATAATTACATAAAACGGTTGCCAATGAATCTAACACTGCATTTATCAAGATAAGTCTGCCCCCTAGTGTCAGTTATTAGAATTTCCACATAGCTAACATTTTCCCTGGCTTTTCGATTATCCCATCCCATATTTCAGGTCCTTGTGTTTGTTGCCTAAAGTCATGCCCAAATAAACTGTAGGTATTTGATCTATTCTGCACCCTAAGATATTGGCCAGCCCGTGCATCTGTGCAACTTCCTTGATAGGAAATAAACTGCTTTTGCTCTAGTTCACACACAAACCAGTGACATATCACCCTGATGTAGCTACTTTGTTCTGCTTTAGTTTCACAGAAGATCACTGTATCATCTGCATAAAGCAATTGGCAGATTTCCAAATTCTCACCTGCTCTGTTGTTGAGTTTGAAGCCTTTCAACCACCTATAATGAATAGCAATCCTCGTCATACTATTAAATCGAGTCTAGATTCTAAAGGTCGACTTTTTAAATCAAAATTTCTAAAGGGGCAATATTAAATGTAAAGAAGCCAAAGGGCAAAAGTGTGAGGGACACCACACCTTGTAAGGCGGGGTGAACCCCGTGCCTTATAAGACGTTTTGCACTACACGCCTTGTAAGGTATATGGCAAGGGAAAAATTCCCCTCATCCTTGCATTAATAGGCTACAAGTTAGATGTGCAGATTTATAGGTAAGTTCAATTAGAATCTTGATAGGTGGAATTCCTTCTTACTAAAAGGCATTCTTACATTATGATTACAAATCAAACAATTTATTTATGTACTCCCTCCATTCATTTTTAGTTGTCACATGCAGCCTATTAATGCAAGGGTGAGAGGAATTTATTCCCTTGCCATCTACCTTACAAGGTGTATGGTACATAATGCCTTATAAGGTGTGGGGCCCAGCCCGCCTTACAAGGTGTGGTGATCCTCACGCCTTACAATAAAAGTTAACGTCTTCCATTAATATTTATTGTAAGGTATGGTGTCCCTCATGCGTTTACTCCTTTGGTTTCTTTTCATTTTGTGTTGCTCCTCTGGAAATTTT